GCGCCAGAGGGAGACGGATGGGTCATGACCATGGTTGAGCGCAGAGGTGCCAACAGAAACGAAATTGTGGTGCTGGATACGAAGGACTTTGGAAAACCTATCGCTGTTATTCAGTTGCCCTTCCATGTCAAGGCACAAGTCCACGGAAATTGGGTCGATCAGCGCCGGTTGAAGGCGTGGCAAAAGCTGGCGAGGGATGCGGTGCCTGAACCTATCAGTGGGCAAGGAGCACTGGAGCCATTGTAAATTTAGCCATTGTTTCCATATTTACCACCAAGTCCTCTCTTAAGCACAGAGCACCGATGATGCTGCGACTGTGAGATGTATCTTGGAGGTCTTGAGATGAAAGAAGTTGCGACGATTGCTATGCCTTCATATGACACGAGCTTTAATCGAGGCTTGGACAACATTTCCATTCTCCACACTGGACTAAACTCAGTTAGGGCTCCAGCTGAGAACTCTAACCAGTACCGCAGTAATCGGCATACTGCTTGGAACTCGATTCCGGGTTTCCCCACCACTGCAATCCTGTTAGCTACATCTGCATGCCAGGCTTTAGTCCATCAAGAATGCTTACCGTAGGGAAGGGGACCTCCTTGCCCGAACCACCGGCAACGGCAAAGGTCAAGATGAACATCATGACCTTGGCACCTGCATCTAGGCCACCGCCGACGATGTAGTTGTACTTGCCAAACCAGGCAGGATGACGCAAACGCATATACCATTGAGACCACAAGCCGACCACGACCTGTGACCAGATGACAGAGGTAGTTCCAGATGTGGTTTCCGAGGCATTGTGGAATATGACAGGAGTGACGAGCTTGCTCACTTCCCAGCCGTAGATAGTCTTGTACTTCTTGGATACAAGCCACAAGGCAACGGGAATGGTAGCCCCAACGACGATGGAGAGGGGAATCCTGGAATTACCTGTGAGAACATGTCAACGTAGCGAAAACTTTTGTGAGATACTCACCATCCATAACCATTTTTGCCAAATCCGTAAACGTACTTGGCAAGCGACCAGGTGACTGCAGTTGTATTAAGAGACTGGATCTTACGCCCGCTCCACTGGTTTTGCGTTAGATCTGAGGACGAAGGTAGGGTTCAGGTCAAGGTCAACTTACAACTTGGGTGCCGATAGGGTCCAGGAGAATCTCTCGTCGGTTCGCTACAATTGTGTCCATTATAACGTAGTTCAAGGCTGTCCCAAACAGACTCCCCCAAGTTTGCAGGAGGAACATGGTTCTCCACGGAATCTTGAGATATTGGGCCATCTTGAGGTCAGTTGACAAGAATACAGAGAGAACAGTAACCTCGTGACTGAACATGGAGAAGTATAAATTGGCGACAGGTTTTCCGGGTTGGAGCACGCCACACAGCATCTTGGAAAGGTTGTTCGTGGCGACGCTGGTGCCAAGCAGGCCGTACAAGCATAACGAAAAGGGTGCGACAATGCATCCAAGAAGCTACGAGAATGGTGAGAATCATGATAAGATGAGTGGAAAAGACGAAGTAGACTTACAATGGCGCAAACATACGCCCAAGCATCAAGCGTGGTGTGGCCCTTGATGACGGCCCCAAGGCCAGTGAAGAAGCCGACGAGAAGAATAGCAACGTACCACCAGATCGGCACGTCTTTGTAGTTTTCTTGCATGATCTTGTAGTGAATGTCTGTCTCTTCCTTCTTCCATGCTTGTTTCAACGACCGCTTGATGCTACTCGGGTCAGAAGAGGTACAACACAACGCTGGATGGTTCATGGACTTACAGTGGCCCGTAGAAAAGAGCAATATGAGTGAGCAGCGCTCCTATAGCAGCCATTGCGGCCATGTTTGCCCAGACGTTGGACGCCGTCAATCGAGGGAGCCCGTGTACTTCCAACGCCTCAGTATCGAGGATCGCGTTTTGCCCAAACACAGCCGTCTGGTTGTAGACCTTGCCAGTCTTCGCGTCAAACATGGCCGTCGACATGAACGGGAACTTCTTGGCACCCCATGCCCCGCCGTAGTAAAGACTGAAGCACATGATGTAGGAGAGCACGATGCCCACCCAGGAGTTGGCTTGTTGCAGGAGCGGCAGGGACATGTACCGCGACGTGATGTACTGCCAGTCCAGGGAGAAGTTAAAGATTCCCTGGCCTTCATTGGAGTTGATACCGCCAAAGATGGTCATTAAGACCTTGCGAGTTGGTGGTGCGGCCTTCATGGAGGCGAGACAAGGGATGGAGATGCCGTTTAGCCAGGGCCAGATATAAGACGCGATGGGCTCCCATATAAACATGCCGATGGAGGTGAAGCCAAACACTCGGAGCCTGTCTTTATTGTTGCCCTCGGGCTCGCGGTGGAGAGTCTGATAGATGGAGATCATGGGGAGGCATTGCCACCAGACCATCTCACTTGCTGCTTTGTGTCAGTACGTGTTCACATCTCTGGTGGTTTTAAGAAATCCCAGAAATATGACTAACGGTGAACAATTATGGATCGCAAGATGCCAACGAGACCATATCCGAAGATTGATGCCGAGCAAACTGTCAAAATTGCAGTAGCAGGGTCGGTGCTGCGGTTGTAAAATCTGATCATCGGTCAATACCCGGCTAGCGATGATGCGAATTGAAAACCACACTCACAGCCGTTCTGCGCCAAAGACCTGCACGATGGCGGCACCATTTCCGCTTGAGGTGGAGAGAATCGAAGCGACGGCATGTTCCTTCAAGCCAAAATGGCCTGGGTTGATAAAGTGAACGACTGGCCCCAGCCATTTTGCTTGCGATGGGAGGTACTTCTCAACATGCTGTCGTCGAGGGAGCACAACTGACCAAGCAACTCCGATCACGTACGCCATCAAGCAAAGGAACCTAACACAACTCGTCAGCATGATGTCTTGGTTGTGGTTGAAGCGGGCCATGAAGCTTACACCGAAGCAAATGAGACATCGACAGGCTTATAAAAGTAACTGTACGTGGTTGTGTCAGTGCGAGACATCGGGAAACGACATGAGTTCTTTTCACATTTGATTGATGCAGGCCGCGAGGGCAGTCAGACCTGTGTCAAGTTAGCTTTCCGAAGCTTCAGTCATTTGCAATCCTTGCACCGTGAACAACCATACCAGAACCAATGATGAACGATCGAAAGGTACAAGACGCATCTCCATCGTCTTGGGTACTGACGACGTATCTTGCGACATCGTTGCCTTCGGAAATCAGCTGACGTTCAGGGTCAAATGCCTCGGCCAAAGGTTTTGTGGCTTTCCATACCATCCCTGATAACGACACCACCATTAACGAGCTTTCTCTCGTCATCTGACTCATTCCGCTCAGGATCTGTCGTCTTCAGGCCGTCGTCTGACTTGTCGTCCTCCAGAATCAGAGGTACATCATTCGAAGCGCCAGCTGCTTGCGAAGGGGCATCTGCATCCAACGCAGTGGCCGTAATAACCGTGGTATCTTTGGAACCCTTCGTGCTCTTCCCGAAATCTGCCATTTTGATGGAAGCGGGGATGTACTCCAGAAAGGCAGGTTCCGTGGAGGTTTTCACGCCGCATAGGCTTCTCTCAGTTCCTTATATCACCCATGCGATGGTTATCTGAATGTACGCTACCCAGACCCGCAAATCCTCTCTTATCACGTCAACGAGGTCAGTCTCTTAATTCCGGCAAAAGCCCACTGACTTAACGCAGCCAAGCCTTCGGTATCGGTCAAGGTAAGGTCATGGCCCGCTCGCCATCCCAAAATCGCGGTACCTGGGTGAGTGCGAACGTTGATTCTACGCAATGTCGGACTGCCGCCGACACATGGCGAAGACTACCGGCGGCTGAATTAGATGCCGCACTTCAAAGTCTTCTCGCTTTTTGAATGACGCGAGATCCGCCCGGCCAGTCGCCATCGTGCCTTGCCCCACAGAACCCGGTTCGGCTCCGATTTGTGCCCTATTGTCAGAAGGATGCCAAGAAATTGCCAAAATGTTTCCCGAGTAATGAGTCCAATAGACCGCAAGCTTGACTTACGTGAACGCCTTTTGGCGCCTTCATTGACTGCACGTCTTCGGCCGAACGCACATATGATCATTCGGGTCCGGGGTATTGCCGGTTACCGGCGATGTTTTCATGTGGATCTTCCCGCTTAGATGCTCTGGGAACAAGCGGATAGTGCTATGGTAGATCTGTACTCCGAAGGCGACAAGAAGCTTGGACGGTGTGTTTGTCTGATTTGAAGGGATTATAAAATAAGGGGGGGAGAGCGCTGTTTTTGTCAATGTCGTTGCCGAGAGGCGTGTGTCTCTTTTGCGGATTGAAGGGAGAGCTGTGAGTATTAACCGCTTTGATCACCCGTTCGTTCAAGGCAAGTCCATGGTCCACAGCATGATCGGAACTTGCCATCAGAGATATCGCACCGTCAACTTCCCCTTTTGCGACATCCAACTTGGCCACTCAGGGTTGCATATACTTTCGCATGTGGGACGCAAAATCGATGTCTCACGAATGAGTATTACATCTGTCTTTCAACATCGGGTAAGGAGTCGTTAGAGTGATTCGGGAAGATACGGCAACCAAGTTTGTATACAAGTGAAAATCCACGCCAAGATAAAGTACGTTAGAGTCAATCGCTCAACAAGCATTGACTACTTACTTACACAGTGCTTGATTTAAGACTTTGAAGGTTGTCCCTAGCTTGGTGTGAGAGGGTCTCGCCGAGTAAGAATGTCACTGATATCATTTTGCGTAAGTGCACTTAAGGTGGTGGTCCTTTGCTCGTCAATCTACAATCTATTCAGAGTTTGACGCCGAGCAAAGACTGGGCGCCTTGAATGCAGCCATCAATCATTTGTCCCGTATCACCAAAGAACATGATGGTTGTTGTTCGAGGTCCCTTGCCTAATCCAACAGGATTTAAATTTCACCTTCAGGGCTTCTCCTCAGAATAATGGTCACTCCAGACCACCGCCAGTCTTTACTGAAAAATCTCTTCTGCCTTTCCAAATTCTTGTCCTTAGTTTCTCCCGTCATATGATCCGCTCACGGGTACCTGCCTTGACCGTTGCCATGATCTTTCCCTCCATCTTCCTCGCCATGTTGATGATGGTCAGCGAGACCATCGCAGCACCATACGAGTCTTCTACGGCGCTCGACGCCATCCAAAGTAGAACAGAGAAGAAGATACCAGCAAACTTCAAGGCTTCTTGCTCAGATGTTCGCTTCTTCGACCCAAGAGTTCTCGTAGAAGAGGGTAGCAAGAAGAAAGATTCGACCCCCTATCTCGTAGCCAAGTGTGGCGATGGCAAAGGCGGCCAAAAGTGCTCCTGGATGCCCCTGACCGCCTGCTTCGCAAACGCGCACGGGGAAATTGTTTACCGGAGATAGTAAGGAGTTTTCTTTCTCCCTTATCCAACTTCTTTGCTGGGCACGGTGGTTCGTTCGGCTAACCTTGCTCAAAGCGGTGCATTCTTCAAGTCCTGCGTGGATTGCAAGTATGAGAACGTTGACACAAACATGATATGCGAGTGCCAGGGTTCCAAGGGCTCGGTACAGGCCAGCATCAACTTGAGTAAGTTCTCACCCCTGAGTCCTGTCTATTGTCCGCGGAGTCTGGATCCTTCACTCAACCACCGGGAAAATAGATGAGTGGATGGACAACAGGGGAGGCCAGCTTGGCTGCCACAGATTTGGAGGGAACGTCATTGATTGTACTGAGCATGAGATGATGGCACCCCGTTTTCATACAACTCCCGATATCATTCCAGATGAGCCGAAATGGGCTTTCGAGGGCGGCTTGTGAGCATGCATGGCTAAACCTTTGTTGGAGCCATATATCGAGCTTGGGTATACTGGTGAACAGGTCGTTCTTTCATGTCTATGTTTATGAAAGGGAGCATGTACGACGCAACTGGAGTATCATGTTACGGCAGCTGCTGTCTTGGAAGCCCTCGTGTTCCGAGGATGGTAGTACTCACCCAAATATCATTCAATTGTCATATCGACCTCGTGGCCAACAACCTCGAAGGCGCCCAAGCATATCAACATCACACAAGCCAATCGAGTGAATTGAACCGAAGCTTAGAAGGCCGTGCCTGTGATCTGCTGGACCTCATTCACCACGTCGGAGCCTTACCGAGACTCTGATACATAACAGCTGCTGCCTCCATTATTGACTCGGCTTCTTGCCTGACTTAAGTAGAGGCCAGAGCTGACCCATGATAATGCACTTTCACCCTGCCTGAGTATTTCCGTCTGATAAGCAAGAGAACCAACACCACGATGAAGTGCTTCGTAGTACTCCTCGCTGCCACGACGTTGGCAATGGCAGCCCCGGCCGACCTCGAAAAGTCGAAGAATGACGACAACTTCCTCCACAACTGCGACTTTGTCAACTTCGGTCTCGGCGACAATGACCAGAACCCTTGGGTCCACTACTCGTGCCCCTTGAACAGGCCACCTTACATGCAATGTTCCCACCTGGAACTCAACGACTGCATCATCAATGACCACGGAGTCCTCCGAGGACAAGAAAAGTAAGATCCAGAGGGAAATCGGGGCATAAGACTTTCATCGCTAATCACGGGGCCACAGGGGAGGGTTCGCCAAAAGCTGCAAGGACTGCGTCTACCTTCACGAAATTGGCAACCTCGTCTGCCAGTGCGCATTCGGAAACCCAACTCAGTTTCGTGAGACCCATAGATACCTTGGTGAGTACAGTCAAAAGAGCATGGAGCCATGCTATGCCGTCCCTATGCTCTTTGTGCTAACGCATGGAAACAGGCCAGGACGTGTGGCTCTCTGGCAGTAAGCTGGGTTGCTTCGGAATGAAGTCTAGCAGCAAATGTTGAGTGGGATTGCGCAGTTCAAGGTACGCAAGCGTTGTGCGGATTTGGGACAAAGCATGGAAGGCCGACGAGACTGCAATTACGTCGTGCCCATTATTTGTGGTTAAGCTTCGCACGTAGAAAGCTCAGAGGTCTTGGTCATTCTCATCCGCAAGCTAATCAAAGCGTGCTGTCCGTAGAATATGGTAGCCTTCAATAGAACATTGAAAAGTAAATTCGCCAATTCGGAACGGGAAGCAGACAGGCGGGTCAATTCAATCAGAAATCCACTTGAACTTGAAGACTTTGACGCGTCAACGCGTTGACGAGATTCCAAAAAGACTGACCAGGGCACAGAAATTCTACTAAGCGACCTAAGGGGACGTCATGCACTTAAACGATGGCGGTGAGGGCTCCACACAATGCAGCTACAAAAATCTGATCGCGCCTATTTTTCTTCTCTGATCTTCCACTTCCATCCACACGCTTTTTCCTTTTCTGCCCATTGCGGCACCCCAAAAGCAACAACCCGAACGCATTTCGAGAAAGGCGCTTTTTGGCCTGCTTGAAAAAGCAGCCATGGGCGCGGTTCATCTGTACCTCATTCGTCACGGCGAATCCGTCGATAACGTCGCGAACCTATAGTACGCATTTTCCACACCGCCATGATACCATTCTGTGCGCCTGCCGGATTCTAGTCTGGGTCGCAGCTTTCTTTCTCGTCTCTTCAGCGAAAAGTCAAACTTGTCACCCATTCTAACTAGCAGCGCGCTCTTTGTGGGCGTGGCGCGTGTTTGCAGTGCTGGGTCTCGCGATGCTCCTTTGACAAACCACGGCGTCTTGCAAGCCAAGCGCCTAGGCGAACATCTCGCGACCCGAACCGCTGCGGCCTCGGCCCCCATCACGCACGTCTTTTCGTCGAATCTTCAAAGAGCCCACCGCACTGCGATGCTAGCAACCCACACTGGCGATGTCGATGACCAGGCATCGTCCAGTACCGACGCTGGGTCTATACCCTCAACGGTTGGAGTGGCCCCGCTGCAGTTAGCAGAGCTCCGGGAGAAACACTTTGGAACAGGCGAGGGTCAGAGGTTCGGTGCCCGGTCGTCTGGAGACAGACACGAAGGCGCCGAAGACCACGACTCGATGCGCGTGCGTGCGGAGCGGTTCGTGGACGAGTACCTCGCTCCCCTCTTCGCTTGCGTCGAAGGAGAGCGGGATGAAGAGCAAGAGGGTGCTAGCAGCGGTACGGAGAGCATCATCATTGTTGCCCATGGTATCATCCTGGGGGTACTGGCGAGGGTTCTCCTTGCTGCTGGCAACTTTGGGTCTCTGGCAACCGGCACGTCGGACCAGCAACAGCGCTTTTCGTGGAGCAACACCGGCTATCTCTTGATTCACATCAAGTCGATACCGCCGGTAGTTGAAGTAAAGGAGTCTGCTGGTGGCTCGCGAAGCGGCATGCAGGATCCCAAATGGCCCCATCTGAAGCTCGAAATCGTAGAAGTCAACTGCACCGACCACCTCCGCGGGTTGAAAAAGACGCGCGGAGGGATCGGCAGCGCAAAGTTTGACGAAAAGCAGAAGACGCTAAGCGCGTTCTTCAAACCAACTGCATCCAAACGGAAACACGAGGACAGCTGAATCGACAGAATTCGCTGCCCCGGGAGAGGTTCACTCACCCGTCTTACCTTGGTCGGTTGACAAAAGGTATGTCTACAGTTTTTATTTCGTCACCAACACCCTCGAGGTGCGCTTTTCATGATGAGGCAAGAAATTCACAGACCTGTACCGAAAGTATACGTGTGGAAACAACTTCAGTCCAACCGCTGTCTGACATCCAAGCGCTATTTACCCTCATTTATTACTGGATCATTCTGAGGAGCCTTGGCTAACATTGAGAAGCGTTCGCAGAGCCCTAGACGCCCGAGGCAAACCCCCACTTGAACCATCATGAGCCTCTACAGAGCAGAATACGCCCAGAGGAAACTAACCTAATTGAACCACGGCACTGAACTTACGAAGCCTCGCGCTCGCTGTTGTCGGTGGCCCTGTGACTTCTGTAGGCGGGATTCTGATTTACCAGTCATGCACACCGGAGCCAGGGCCGAAATAAACACATGTCAGAAGCAAAACTGTCTACAAGCAAAGCGAAACAAACGTCAGATGCACACTGTCTACAATCAGAGCATAACATGATCACCCTGATGAGTGCTGGAGGGTTCGAACCCCTCATCCCGTGGCCAGGGGGGCCGGTACTCATCAGTCACCTCAGCGGCCTTTTCAACAAGGGCTTTGCTTCAGGGTACAAATATTAAACTCTTTTCACGGGAAATACCATTTGTCTTTGGAACACGTACGGGGTTGGATATAGATGCTAGTGGCGTGGGAGAGCAAGGGTAATCAAGTTTAGATCGTCGAAAATCATCACCAACGTAAAACCTCATGCTGAGATTCTTTTTGGCCGCCATTGTCAATCTGTACCGAAAGTCTCGTTCAATGAAGCTGTGTTCCATAAAGCCATATCTGCCGGTACAATATGATCCTGGCCACGTAATCCATGAGTGCAATGCCAGTACAATCGATCATCCAGTCATGAATCATACAAAACAAACCACCCTATCCTATTCTTACCCTATACATCCGTACTCCATTCGTCCGTCTCCGTAAACATCTTGTAGATTCTCTTACTCACAGCCTTCCCAACAGCCCGGTCCGAAAACCCGCCATCCTTGTTCGTACTCTTGCGGCAATTCTCCAGACAAAGCGGCCCTCGCTCCTCAAACGCCTTCACCAGCTCCCCCACCGTCTCAAACTCGGACACGATGCCGTAGGCCACAGGCTGCGTGACGCGCGCAATCTCCTGCAGCATCCGCACATAGGTATCCTTGACGTCCTCGCCCGTGCGGACCTGGCCCGTCTCCATGCAGAAGCCGGCCCCCGCGGCATTGGTCGCCTCGCGCTGTTTCCGGTACGGCACCGTCGAGATGTGCTGAGTAAAGACGGCGACCCACTGCGCAGTCTCGACGGCCGCGGCGGTGTGGTGGATCAGCACGTCGTACATGACTTGCAGCTGGAGCAGGGCGTCTTCGACCGAGTCTTCGTCAATGTACTCCTGCGGCTGCTGGTTCTTGCGCCGCCGCGGTTGAGCGGCGGCACTAGTCGAGGTCTGACCATCACCCGTTGCAGCATCTTCGCCGCGCACGGCAGATGCGAACTGTCGGTTCCGGACGTTGCGGTTCTTCCTCATCCAGGGGTTGAGGCCTTCAATCAGGTACATGATTTGTTCTTTTGGGAAATGTTGCTTCATCTTGGAGACGTGAGCCTCGAGGTTGTTACCCTCGGGTCCCAGGGCGTACGTGACAAATTCAGACGCAGTGACAATGACGAGCGCGAACTTGTCTGGTTGAATGCGCATAGGGATCGGCTCCCAGTGCCCGAGCTCATCATTGAACCGACTCGCAACTTTTCTCCTCCACTTGACCACGTTGTCCACGGGACTCTCCCAGGTAGAGTGCTGCACGTCCAGGTCTTTCAACAATGTCTGAATTTGAAGTGTCATGGTCGCGGGGAGGCTAGCCGGGAGGTCTGCAATCATTTCGGGAGTCGACACCTTCTTGTCGGTCCTGATCTTATTGACCTCTGCCAGCGCAGCCGCTCGTTCCTTTTCCTTGGCTTTTTGCTCCTTGATAGCCTCTTTCTCTTGCTTCTTGCGTTCCTTTTCTCTTTCTCGTTCCGCTGCTTTCGCTTCTTTCTCTCTCGTCTTTTCTTCCACTGACTTTGTTGTCGTTGGGCGGCTGGTACTCGATTTAGAGGTGGCTTTCGATGGCACCCTTAAGGTAGTTCGGGAGGATGGCTTCTTGGTGTCCAATCGGGCTTTGAGTTTCGAAACGTTAAAGTTATCGAGGTCTGGAAACTCTCCGTCCGAGTCGGCATCGAGACCGCGGGCTGCAGGCTCCGGCTCCGAGTCACTGAGGTTAATCACAGCGCTGGCGGCTTTGGTCATGGTCTTTCGCGGTGGGGGAGGAGAACTCTCGAACGGATCACGTCTAGTTTTCGGTTCAGGCGCAGAGCTCGATATGGGGTCCCAATGAGCCTTTCGTCTGGGCGGTGAAATGACCTTCTCTTTCCCCTTGGCCGTTGTCCCGGCTAATGTTCTTGTATCTGGTGGTTTCACAGTCTCTGTCGGCGCTCGTCTTGGTGAGCTGGCAAATGGATCGTCATCGTCATTGTCTAGGAGTATTGTAGGCGGCTGGGGTATCGCTTTCCGTGCCACGGGTGGCGAACTCGCAAAGGGATCATCGGAGCTTAATTCGTAGTTTATATGTCCGGGCCCGGTGGTTGTGGCCTTCGGAAGCGGGTTCTCGCATATCGGCGCAGGCTGCGCTGAAGGCGGCAATGCTGCGAACGGGTCATCGGCCGGAGCACTTGTCGTTGGTGGAGAGAAGACACCCGGAGAACTTGAGAATTCGATTGGTTCCACCACCGAACGTACTCGTCGCAAACCGTCACTCTGCTTCTGAGGCAGTCGGGTACTGTGATCAGTAGCGGAATGGGAGCGGTCGAAGGAGGATCTGCGGCTGCGACGAGGAGAAGAGAGTCGCGGTCTTTTGCGATCCCGTGGTTCGTTGTTCAACCCATTGCCAATCGGCAGGCTGCTTTCGAGATCGACAATTGTATCAAAGTCGTCCGAGTTGAAGTAAATGGGCGTATTCACAGGAACAGTTTCCTCTCGTGCACGTTTTGTTGCTGAGTTTGTCAATGACGGGGATGTCGCTTTCGGCAATACAGATGGCAGTGGTAGAGGTTTTGGGATTGTCTCTGGCGATTCGGCTGTCAAGTCGAATACATCTTCATCGCCGTATGCCAGTGGTGTCACAACAGCTGCACTAACCAGTGGCGCAGGACGAGGTAGTGGGGGTCTTGCGTTCTTGGAAGAGGGCCACGAGGGGCTGCTGGAGAGAAGGTCGATTACTTCGGCAGTCATGACTCTTTGCGATATGAATAGTCTCTCGGCCAGCCTGCGACTATGAGGCGTGGTGGAAACGGTGGACAGCGCCTAGAGCATTTCGAAAATGCATCATCGACAGTATGGAACCTCAGTGTCATCGACGCAAATTCACGTCGTAAAGTCGCGTCTCACCTTGCGCAGGTGGGGCACTGGCACAATCGGGCGGGTCAACGCCGATGGTCCTAGCGCGAACCCGTCACGTCAGTCACGTGCCCACTTTCGCAGTGCTTTGTCAGTGACATCCTCGCAACACCCATACAATTGAAACTGATAGTCGCTGCTGGCTGCTCAACATCAAATGCCAGATCAGACCCTGGATCGTCTGCTTCAGACTCTCCCACCTCTTGTATCCGCTGAATCATTTTTCCACACGATATCTAGCCTTAAGGAGCGATCTCTACTCAAGAGGACTGTCTAGATTGGGTCTTTGCCCCGAATGCCATCCGATTCCCATCGGATGCAATACCCAGTATCCCACCGGCCCTCTCCCGTTAGAGTCCGTCCCTAAGCGACGTGGGATTGGTCATGCAGAGAACAAGCTTCCAGCTTTCGGGCTTCTCGAATTCGGTGTCGGTACGGAGTATTTCTGCTACGGAGACATCCAACATCAGCTACATAGCTGTGTATGAGGATTAAGCCGTTTCGAGGATGCCTGGTCCACCGTGTTGGTAGTGCACCACGCAGCATGCCGCACGATGCCAACTAAGCACTATCCACGATGAGGAGCGAATCCGACTGCGACTCAACGGCCGAAGCTCATGCTCGTATCATGCCACAATCCTCGAAAGACATGCGAACCCGGGCGTGCGATTCCTGCCAAGAGGTCCGACCGCCGAGGCGGTAGCGCAGGACGGCGGCCCGACGACTTGACAGGCTGATCGCTTTGCGGTATTGAATGGCTGAGCGATGGGTCACTGGACTCCTTCTCCCACGTGTCGACGCATGAAACAACGGTTCAATTTCCCCAGTTGGCAGAGCCCCCGGACCGAGCCCTATCTTTACTCGAACAAGCTCCCGTAATGAGGAGAATCGCTCGTGCTACCGTGTGGGAATAGGATGCATCTTGTGTCCGTCCGGACAGCTATCTCATCACAGGGTGAGATGGTGTTCCTCCATACCCGAGCGAATTGGCGACGATGTACGGAGTACAATCACACTTACAGAGGTCTAATCGCGCGCACGGCCGGCTAGGATGTCAATAGCCGACCCAAAAACTTGAAGGTTGTGGTTGAGCAGCAGGGGGTTCTGCCGAGACGACGTGCCAGTCAATGGCAACCCAATTCTCCTTGCTGGTGCAGGATACTTGCGGGCGATGAATCTGCAAAGAGCCAAAAGCGCAGTAGAATATTCAAGATGCATCAGAGCTGGCATCTGCGACCCCTCGAGGTTGCAATGCTCCGGCTTCGCTTCTTCTCGATGCAGAACTTCGTCGAGTGTTACCATTTCGGCGAATGATTTCGTTCCAGAAGTTTCATGAGGGGGCCTTCTGCAACCCATGTAAATATCCGCTCACTTCTGGTGTTTGCGATGCAAAGCGCGATACTGCCACGAGCAGGTGGCGATGATCTGAAAACCTACGGCCAATTCGCAACAGTGTAGATTTTGTACTGTGGACTTGACCCAGCCTTGAGGGCTGCGTCTATTATCAGGGGCAATCACAAAGGCAACCTGTCCAGGCTGCTATGATGCTGAAGCCACCGTCGATCTTTTCAAGATTGGCTTCGGCGCTTCGTAACAACGCACAAGATGCTTGATTGTACTTGAACGCCGTTCGAGGGTCACAAAAGTAGTTGCTGCGAGCTCAAATTAGTAAATTTTGTGGTGACGCTTCCCACGCATCTCTCCCACTTGAGTTCGGAAACCCGTGCATCGCGTGCTCTTTCGGCGAGGAACAGATCTGAAAACCAGTTTGGCTTCAGTTTGGCATGTGATGGCTTCGCTCTTCGAAGTAGACCGGCACTAGATGAAGCGATTGTATCTCCGTTGAATCTATCTCAATGAAATACCCGAGCGGGGCTTGCCCACCGGCTTCGGTCCAGGCTCGCTACAACCGGACAACTCGGCTCGGCCCCGTTTAATCAGACCTTGAAGCATTTCATGACGGCGCCGAAGTGGATCGTCATTCGGAGCGATCCACGGAATGTGAAATTCGAGCAGTACCGACATCCCCATCGAGGCATGACAAGGCAGCCACCCAGGAAGATTGAGTTTCTCGCTAGCGCTTATTAACTTATGTACTTGAGTTGCGTTTTAGTGATCCGGGTAAAGAGGAAAGGGAACCATTGAGTTTCGATAATGGAGCCAGCCATCAGGTTCAGTTTGGGACGAAAAGCTAGGAGCGATAATTGCGTTATTGGTCAGCAGCCTCTCTCATAGGAAATAAGCCTGTCTTCGCTGTCAACTACCATTACAGTCCATATCGCCTACTGAGTTGCGCCGGTCAGGGACTGGCCCAGATACTATTCGGCGAGAGAACAGTACGCATCTGAAAGATTGAGATGATGTCCGAATGACCCGTCCATCCCCGCGCACCACGCACAGAACCAGCGGCCTGCCTATCGACAACATGGTTTCTTCAATCCATTCATCTTTATGCAGGTATTTTGCCCCAAATGATCTCAAGTCTGATGTCAAAGTCGAGGTCGCCGAACACTTTACCAAACAAGACTCGGCTGCCGGCCGACGAATTGGCTTGGCTCTAACACGTCTGCTGCTGTCGATCGTCAAAGCACACTGGGGTGGACGAAAGGGATTTGGGGTGAAATCGTCAACATCAGATGGAAATCACGCCTTACGCCGAATAGTGTCTGCCCTCTCTACACCGTAGACTGTTCTACTCCGGCGAGACCGAGTCAGGGAAGCCGACACCAAGGTCCTCGCATACCCCCTTGTTTTCCGCGGGTCTGCGCCTTTGTGCATGTAAACAGCATCCAAGTCTTGCAAACTTCGGCTGGCTAAACTATGGAGTGTTTCAACAAAACGGATTGTCGAAACCTTAACCCGACTCATCGTTGTCAACCCTGGTTAAGGAATAGACAAGGGATGAAGCGCAGACTTTGCTTAATAGGATGGGGGCAACCACACAAACGATTTCAATAGCCCGTCAACGCTCCACCCGGTTACACCTCCCATTTTGCTGCCCAATGGCTCCGAACTCCACCGGGTCCGAGATTCTTGGCCGTCGATATATCTATTGAGGAGCGTCTCGTACACCAAACACGTTGTTGAAAGCATTGAAGAGGAGAGGTTCTTGTCAACACCACCGACCAAGACCCCAAGAAGGGGGAGCAGCGCACTCTGCATTGCCGACACGATTCGGCCCGCTCCTCGCCCTCCCTGTTTTCCCACCAACCCCAAAACTGACATATCCGCAAGCGAGCGAACGGAACACATGGTCTAGGAGCAAGGAAACCAAGAACCAAAACGCACAAATCATGGCAGACAATATCAAAGGCGCTCTGGACCTTACCCGCCAGGAGGCAATGGCCATCGCCGCCCTCGCCACAGCAGGAATCTACAACGCCGTCGAAATCTACGTCCTCATCTTCAGCACCTTTCGCCAGCGCCGCGGCCGCTACTTCTGGAGCATGGTCGTCGCCAACACGGGTATCTTCGTTCACGCCATCGTCTCGCTGATTCGCTACCTCAGTCGCGGCGGAACTGTCGTTCCGGGCGCGTTCGCGCTGATGGCTTGGTGCGCCATGGTGACGGGTCAGTCTGTCGTGCTGTGGTCGCGGCTGCACCTCGTCGTGTACAACCGCACATCAATACGTCTCGTGCTGGCCATGATCGTCGCCAACGGGTGCGCGATACATATACCCATGGCGGTGCTGTGGGTTCTGTGCTGGGCGACGCCGGCGGGGGAGCAGGCAGGATGGATTGAGCGGTATGGCGTGTATGAAAAGGTGTCGATTGTGGTGTTTACGCTGCAGGAGACGTTCATCACGGGGATCTTTGCGCGGCAGGGATTTTTCAATTTGAAGCCGCTGTTTGCGTTCAAGACGAGGGCGGCCAAGTTGATATCGTGGTATCTGCTCGGTCTCTTCGTCCTCGTCTTCGTACTAGATGTCGGGCTAATCGTGCTCGAGTACACCAACAACTTTATGTTTCAGACGACGAGCAAGCCCCTGGTCTACAGCATCAAGCTCAAGGTCGAGTTCACGGTGCTCAACAAGCTACTAGCGTTCACAAAGATGAACTCGTGCGATTGTCACCACTTGGACGATACGCCGGGCGGGTATACAAAGGGTCTGATCACGCAGGGCACCACTGGCACGACGAAGGGCTTCACGCCAGCGCAGAGGGAGATGATGCAGGGTGGAGGGTCGATGGTGTCTCCCGAGCCGGATCGGCCGGATCACATCTTCGACGGGACAAGACCGGTGTCCGTGGAAGAGAGGGCGTGACATTTGGCGCGGTCAGATTTATGGTAGCATTGTGTAATCCCCTGGAAACTTTCCAGAAAACACCTAAAGCGAATTAGATACCCCCTATTTTGAAGCATTTAGCTACCAAGTTTAACAAAAGTAACCTAGAAATTGAGATCTAGATCTCTTTCTTTCGCATACTTACGTCGAATCTCAGTCCAGTTCAATTTAGAAGCATCGCCCGTCAATTTATCAGCATAACAGAACGCAGTGCTGCTGACATGTTGAGGGCTTATGGTTGACATCGGTCTCTGCTGTATTATGACTCGTTTCGGACGACTCGCCAGACTCTAAAATAAGGTTGGCGATTGTGTCATTCGCACCAAGCTTTCTTGTTTCTGCTGTAACTGAAGCAAACGACAACCAGGGCACACCCATGGTTTCCCTGGACACTGAACAATGACAGCAGCGTACGAATTCAGAGAGTGGTTTGGGGTTTCTTGGTTGTCCTTTGTAATAAGATTACGAACGTAACCTATGGATGTTTCGATTTACCAAAGTGCCATGACCGTCAGAAAGAAACTGAGACTCTATCATGAAATCACCTTGAGCCTGACGTATGCAGTTCTAGAGCTTACCTAAGTATCTAGTGGTAATTTCGCATTCATAGCTAAAGTCTCGTCTTCCTATCTAAGTCCAACGATACTGTCACGAATAGTGGCCCCAAAGGATGTCAATGCATTTCCATGCGTAGTCAGGTTAGAGATCTTGAGTCTATGAACCTATTTGTATCTAGGTTTTCATCAGTGAGAGACTTTCTGAAGAGGGAATTAGTGAGAGCGCCGTGCATGTCAAGCTACAAGTTCCAATGCAAAAACAAATTATCTCCAGGGCTATCACGAACTTTTCAAGTGCGAAGTTTGAGGACTTCAACGACACTGATAAGTACAGCACGAAATAACTAGAGATGAGCCACTGCAACGCTAGGTTGCCAAGTGGATGTCTTCAGGGGATCGAATCCGAGTGAGATCACCTCTTCAGTGTTAAAAGCTCATCAAATGCTTACAATCTTAAGTTTACGACATTACGCGAGTCTTGATTATATTAGCACAAAGGATGACTTGTCGATTTTCCTCAAGACTAGAATACGCACGTCAACTTACATCTGGCCAATTATTTCTGAATGATAACCTTACAACATATATTAGATCAGATCAGCAGCATCGATGGTTCACTTCATCAAGGCAGTAGGTATCTCAGCTCGTGGAAACAGCTACCAAAAGAAAAAACAAGATACGCACGATGATCACATTATAATATCTTGCGCAAATGACGGGCGTGTGAACCCACAATAGGTTTCACGTGTATAGTAACATGAAGTGAGGCTAGAAATGAAATCATGTAAGAACTTTCAAGTCTTGCCAAGAGTCATCACAACATCCTATGCTGAGTAGCAGATGGTTCAACTCTCTGCGCCGCTCACTTGAGTAGACATTCACGCCTATTCCTTCATGTGGCTCCCCTAGTTATTACTTACGTTCTCTAGTATTCACTCATTGCAACTCGCAGCTAGCACTTGACCATACTTGAGACTGATAGAGTGAAAAGACATAGTACAGAAAGGAGCAGCGAGCACCGTGGGTCTAAAGGACGAATAGCCCTGTCAGGGACCAGTTGCCAACGCATAGCCAGTCTCCATGGCTCCTATTCGCAAGCGCCTAATGCCATAGCTACGGTTAATTCAAAGCGCAATTGAAACTCTCAAATCTTCGTTACGGATTTCTTCTAACTTGGATAATGATAGCTTCAAGTAGTAGTGGGATGGATAGCGAAGTGAAAATTCGATCCACCACGAATTGGACGTTCGACTTGTCGATGAACTTGAGCCTCGATCAAGATTGCGTATTATCCTACATGTGATTTGGTTCGTATAGAGTTGATTTTGATACTGGTTACTGTTGACACACAATGCTCATGCAGCTAGCATAGTGAAGTTCTTCATGGAGCTTCCAAGACATTCTCACAGTGATGACATGCCGACCCATTCGAAAGTCTGCTCCATAGACAAGGTGTAACAATAAGACGAGAAGACACTTCGATATCAAGAGCCGTAGGCTGGGTGTCATTGGAAACCACATGTATCATGAGGTTCAGCACACTGTCCAGGTTACAGGCCAGGACAACAGCATCTTCGCCATCAAAGGCAATACATCACTGCATCTCAAGGGAACACTTTGACTTTCGTCGATAGATATATCCAAGATAAGACGATGAGCGAGGCATTAGCTAACTTCTTCGCTTACGTGCAAGGACCGGCCTGATACTACTGCAAGCTGCAGATGCTACTGTTCCACAATGACCGTCGACGTGCCGTCATTGTACCGCCGTACTGCCGGCCTTGGCAACCAACATTGATGGCAACGACCCAAGCCGGCAGCCGAGAGGGCGTTCCAGTGGGAAGATCAAGAATGGATTCAACCCCCTCCAATGCCGTTCCAAGGTCGTTCGATAGAGAATGCTGTTGTAGACACGTACGGCTTGAGATAGTCGTGTGTCACTGCATGTCAAACGGTCTACAGAACCATCAACACCCAAGTTGTCAACGGGACGGGCGACGGGCAGTCTCTACGGCTCTGCAAACAGTGGCTCCACGGCCCGCAAAGACGTGCGGTAATGAGCCGGGAAAAGCAGAAATGACACGGAGGCGTCCACTTGCGGACGGCAACGCTAACGACGTGGGCGGCGCATGGTGAAACACGATCTCAGCAAACTGCAGGTTTGTAGATAGAGTCGAAAACGGCGGGGCCCGATAAAGTGAGGAGAAACTTGCCGCAAGCCACCTTGAACCCTGTTTGTCGTGCGCGAACATGTAGCTAAGAAAAGGGCACGCCAGTTCGTGAGCATCGCCACCCTCGCAATAAGCGGATGAGTGGACGGATGAGATGGCTTGTGCTCGAGAAAAGGGTCCCGAGAACGGGGGACATACAAGCTCAAGGTCTTACAGGAACATTTTCAAGATGATCTGATTATTGGTCTTTCCCGATCAAGATTTCACAATGTCATCAGCTTATGCGATCGGGGATATTTGGCTTTGGTGGAATGAGATATGCTTTTGCGATTTGTAAATGCCGAGACGGCGATTGGGGGGCGGGATCGAATTGCAACGCTTCCGCGATGCCAAAGGTTTTGAATGGCGATAAGAGAATATGCATTATATACCCAAAGATAGGGATGAACGCTGGTATAAGCGCTGCGCACGCGGGTTCGTTGTGATAATCAAACATGAGTATCGCAGGGTCCGGGGACGAAGCCTATTAACCTACGGGGATCGTCTGCGCGGAAGTCTCGCGAACCGACGAGGAGCATGTCGAGATGGGAGACGTTGGGACATGCGTGTTCTAGAACCCATTTACCATCGAATTCTGGATCGCATCAGTCTGAACAGGGCTGTGACATGCAACGCGAGGAACGGGCAGAAGCATCATTTGGTTCTGCGGCCAAAGCAGTGACGGATAGCCCAATTTCCAGTAGCTGTCAGCAGCTGGTGGACTGCCCATCATTTCGGAAACATTCGTCTGCGATCCAAGACCTTTCCGTAGAGAAAAAACGGCCTGTTACTCGCCCGCCTTCCCGTCGAGGCGACATGGGATGATGGGATCGGCGAACGGCCAAAACCCCTATTTCTTGCGTTTGACCCCGGAAAAATTCAAGAAAAAGCTGTGAGCGCACGGTTGATTGCGAATGGTTTTAAGTTCTGGATGGCTGCAAGTCGCGCTATGGAGGGTTGGAATGATTGTGTGCATGTTTGTCAGCTTTTCGAAAGGGTCTGGTGGCCTCGCAGTGTCAGTGTCGCTCTGCAGCAGGGGGAGACAGGACGACGATGTCGGTAGGTTGAGACGGCGCGTTGGTACGACGCATAAGGTTTGGGGTGGGATTGGCGGGAGGGACGATCAATGCCTAGAGACGGGAGGTGATTTAGTCGGATCCGGCCTGTTCGTCTTGGGGATTTGCAGGTGCCCTCACAGACGTCTGAGGGCTCCAAAGTCTAGAGGGTCATGTTCGTATACCGTGGAACTGTTGCTGAACGCGTAATGATTCACAAACGTCAGGGTGCGGAAGACCAGAGATCCAATCGTGGGAGGCGACGTGAAGCACCAGCAAATGTACTAGCTAGACTGAGACCTCAATACTGGCTGGCTCGGGACGTTGACCCAGAGGCTCAAAGCCCGCTCCGTGGCGCTCATTCTGAGTGAGCGTGAAGCAAAAGAAGGTTTCGAGTTTCGACCCAAGCCTTGCTATAGAGGCATTGGAGGGCCATGATGCCTTACGGTATTTTGGATCTTCACGCCCACGGTCTCGATCGTAAACATGGTTCAGCAGCTCATCTGCATGACGGCGGCTGTTCATTGCGTCCCCTAGGATACGAATACACAAACTGTGCTCTGTCTGGCGCCAAATTCTCTCGATCTGCCTCTGCGGAATAGGGAGCAGTGATAAACAGGAACGGAAAGCGGATGGACTGGTGCAGAGCTGTCATGTATCAGAAACCGGCGGGACTGGCAGGCCCCGGTCGGAAGTATATTTTCTGCCGGCCTCTCGGGCCATGACTTGGATGCGTTCCCATTGGGTGCGCGATATGTGTCCGGTTGATGCTGGTGAGAAGACGTCCCAAGTGAGAAGTCTTTTCCCGGGATCGTGCACCGTAGTGGCCGTTGTGTGTCGTGTGGAAGGGCCGCTAGGGCAAGCAAGCGTCTTCCAAGTCTCTTGAATTAGCCAATCCTCAACTTCGAAGAGGCACTTGCGCGTGTGCTGTAGTCTGGGTTTGCGTGAACCGTGGATGCCGGCTAGATGGCGCAGAAGAAAAAGCAATGCGCTTCTCGTTGGTGCAGAAATCTTTCGATTGTTCGCAATCAACTGCATGCGGACGGGGCGAAAGATCCATGGTTGATAGAAACTTCCCCCCACGGACGACACATCGTCGTCTTGGGCCTGTCTTATGGAGGTTCGGAGTTGAGCTCTGCAGCGTAATCTTTGCGAGGAACAAGAAGCATGACACCCGATATCTCTTGTCACGACATCTCAGACTGGAGTGTTCTCTAGCCGATCCTGTTCCTCGGACAAGTCAGAAAATCTC